AGTGCACCCGTGCTTTTGTTTAGCCTCGCTTGTCCATTGAGACTGACGGCTGTAGCCGAAATTGGATATGTAGGACTGTATTATAGTTACGAGCTTGGGGTTCGTGACAATAAAAACTGCCGTTTGAATTACCAAAATTGACACTTTAATTACCGAACACCAGTTACAACTTAAAACACACTAATAATTAATTACAATGATCACTTTAGTTCGCAATTATTTCACTTCAAAGTATTCGCTTGTTTTTCCAATTCAATACTGACTCGGGTCGCGGTCTAAGCCGTCCTTATATAGGTCTTTTCCACTGAAACCTCTAGAATGTTCGAGCACATATTGGTCCCGACCGACTAGGAGTAGAAAGTTCTAGCATGGAAATATCTAGAAAGATTAGTTCTGCTACGCGATACTAGATGGCGCTAGTGCCATGTACCAGGCATTAATTATGGCGCTCAACATTATTATTAGTTCACTTAATGGTAAGAGGATACTGTGGTCCATAGAACCCCTACAACTATAATCGATTGAGAATAGAAATGAGGAGGAGGATGAGGAGGAGGAGACTTGAGGATTAAGATAGAATGCCTCGTTACCAGAAGAACAGTTTCCAGTTCTCTTCACTCACCATACGTAGTATAGCATTATTCTGCTATACTTTTATCAACACAAAAAGTTTTTAGGAAACTATAATATTATGTCCAAATGTTAAGAATTTAAACAGAAACATGCCTCATGAATTTTTAAAACAATAATCTGTTATTTCCAAAATTATTAAACACATTTTGCGGCATGCCCCGGTTGTATCAAACTACATAAGCATTATGCAATAAAACCCACAAGTTACCACCGTCCTCGAAGACACAGCAACGTAAAGGCGGCGGCAGTCGTAAAATGGATTAAAAGTCACATGTCGAAATCGGGCCTCTCTTTCGAAACGATATCACTGGAGTGAGACGCAAGTGTGCCCGTGGGATTGTATCGGGATCCGAACGATTATCGTAAATAGAGTGTTTTCGTGTTTCCGTTCATCCTTTTGGAATTATCAATGACTTTGCCTCGACTTAACGATGCTGTACCCTGCAGTGCGACGTACCGGTAATAGGATTTAGAAACGCAGCTTTAGTTTCTACTTCCCGTATATAAGAACGTTATGGACCTGTATACTAATGGAACTGGACTCAGTCAAGGAAAATATAGATGATCATTGGATTTTAATAGGACTGTGATTAATAGATTAAACCTCTAGCGTAGTCCTTACAGTGTTATTGCTGCAGTCTGATCGTCTCGACTCTATTTGGGAAAGACCACACTCTCATAGATTACCAATTTCAAATATAAGCATAATGTGCAGTGCTTTTTAACGCTGAGTGAAGAAAACGGCGAGTTTTTTTTTTACTGGAAACGAGGTGTTACATGTTAGTTCTTGGGAGTGCCAACGCTACTGCATTTTTATTTTTAATAGATGATTAATGTAGGTTTTTATGGCTTTACCCCAATTACCATCATGTGGACTGTGTGCTCATTTGTTGTACTTACTTGTTCTTGGTCTGTAAAAGGTTCTTTAATATTGCACGTTTTTATCGTTACGTGTTTGATGTATAAAAAAGAATAAATAAATACAGGTAAAAAGTAAGATAGGTAAAAAAACTTAAAACTGTATATTGACTATCTTGACACTATATGAAGGAGAGTATCCTTACTCTACTTTGTATAGGCAAGTGTATCCACAACCTAGTAAAATGCAAAGAAAACATTCTCAATAATGATAAATAGTAAAAAATTGCCTTGAGTTTATTCATATCTGCCTTTTAGAATTCGAAATATTCTTTAGAACTTATTCCCTACGATGTAGTAATTCAAATGCTAATTAATATTCTCGAGAGAGTTTAAGCATTAAAAAATCATTGGGCCCCTTTCTAAACAAATTGCCAAGGTTCGGGTAGTGAATAAATCAATGAAGCGTGGATACTTAACAGATTTCCCGGGTAAATTTTAACTAAACAAACTTAATATACCTTGGAAAGGTATTATAAAAGGCTTCATCGAGATCCCCGGGACTCTGGGCAGTGTCATAATAACCCACTCAAGGGTCATATTATTAAGTCATAAATCTTTATATATTCGGCAGCCGCAAATAAAACCGGACGGGGAGTGTAGGGCGATGTTTACAGATTCAAAATTGTTTCTCTCTAAACCTGGTATTAAAGTCGCAAACGATGCCGAGAGATGAAGGTCTGGATTTAATTATTTTTTTTAAATCGTTCGGTTGTTGCTAATGTATCGGTGTATGAATATTTTGTTTTTAATTCATTTATGTTTTTTTTCATTCACGAATTATGTATCTATGAAGATCATAATTGAAAAAGAAATACATAGGATTATTATTTCATTACCGGTTAAAGTCTATAATTTTATTTCTAGTTTACATTTCATGTATATTATATATAAAGCTCTACAACGGACCAGACAGTTCCTTAACCGACCAGCCTCATATAAATATTCGAGTATCTATAATATTAAATGAAAAACGAAATCAATGAATAGTAAATTCGTGATCGCACAAATATCAAACAAGGTACTTAAACATAAGGAGAATATGATTTTTAAACTTAAAACTAAATTTATATTTTAATTATTATTACTAAAACCAGTTTGCTGGAAGAGAAGCCTAGGACAACTTCATGACGCAGTGGCTTAGCACTGATTTGCGTCTTTGAGGGCCGCGTGTTTAAATTCCGCACGGTAAAGTATGGCCTATAACTAATTGTCCTGGGTCTGAAAAAGGATAAAATACTAGTAACGTTTTTGACTAAACGGTTTTGAAAAAGAAATAAACGATTTCATCAACTGGATATCTTTAGTGAAAACTATGAGAAAACCCAAAAAGACCAGGGTCACTCTCGTATATGGCAGAGAGAAACTGGCAGTGGGGAGCAACAACAAAAGTGTGATACGGTAAATTCTTCTTAAAACAGTATTTTTTTTTAACTTTTTATAAGCCAGTGCTTGTTGACCACAATCCCACCTGGTGGTAAATGGTGATGCAGCCTCAGATGATAAATCGCACTGTCTTAGCGTAATTTATTCACTCTTGCCTTAAATACGCCCAGATTGTATTCGGACGGAAATATAGACGCCAGCAAATTATTCTTTGCTGTACATATTAAAAAACTCGAATCAAACCGTTTGGTTCTAATGCGTGGAATATTGACAACAAAGGAGTGAAGACCCGCCGACCGCCTGGTCGTCCATTGGTGGAAAAGAGAGGGAGGAATTAAAGCGTGCAATTCCTGCGCATACTATCCGAAATGCATCCTATAGAATACCGAGAAGTTGGCTACTCTGCGCCTGTGCTCGAGGCTGACAAGGTTGGTTTCAGTCAAATCAAGGTCACCAATGAGCCTCTTAGCACGTCTCTGCACTGAGTCCAACGCTGCCAGGTGACATTTTGCAGCATCAGCCCATATGTCACAGCAGTACTCCATGCACGACCAGGCTTGCGCTTTATATAAGGTAAGAAGCTGCCCCGGCGTGAAGTACCGCCGCACCCTTGCAAGAACACCAAGTTTCCATGCGGCTGCTTTGGCTCTGGACTTAATGAACCGCCAATAGTTGATCTTCGGAGAAAATTTAAACTAACAACTGGAGGCGGTCCGTGTGCTCCAAGGACACATTCTGGAAATTAGGAGATAGGGTGAGCGGGCTCCTTTCAGCAGTGAAAAGACACGCTTGTGTTCTGGAGGCGTTGAATCTCACGAGATTGGCATCACCCTACTTGGAGACTGCCTGTAGTATGAGATTCACACGCTCAACCATAGCCTCTCGTTAACACTAAGCGACGTTAACAATAAACAGTAGGTACATAACAAAATTCATTAAATTGTAAATTTCAAATTGAAATAAACTCATAGAAGCGGTTTTCGAATTATTTAACTTTCACTGAATAACTAATTACTATACTGTTTGGTTAACGAACTTTAAATTAAATTTAAATTTTGATGAAATTTGATACTTTTATATCTGTTCATAATTAACAATTCTCGATGCAAATTATTTCTTAAGTTTTTAGACATAATGTCAACATTAAATTAACAGATGTATTTTAATATTCCTTTATAAAATATTACTAATTGGTTACAAAAGTAATTTATTTATAACTAACTGTACCTGTTGAGTCCGCGTGAATTCAGATATAAAAAACATGTATTTTTGGATCTGGTATCACTGTAACAAATAAATTTGGTGTCAAAAGACACACAACGGGTGTTTTCGTCATAAACGTTTGTACGGATAGACAGGTAAATTATTTTTAACGTTAATATCACGTTGCCGAATAATATTAACTAAATAAAGCCACAATAAAATAAAGTTACAATCTTCGAGTTGCGTAGAATATGGAACTTTCCTGTTCCATAAAAAAATTATATTTATGTAAACAGAAAAACCGGTATGAAGATAAATAAACGATAGTTCACTATAACTTTAGTTATTTTGAATACATTTATATTATTGAATAAGTACAGTTTAATTAAAAGAAAGGTGGCACTATTTCATTAAATTTCCTGCTGAAATAAATTAATAATATGCAAAATATCCCCCGTCATGGGCAATATCAGTATGTAACTGTTTGAGCTGACGAGGAAGGAATAAAACTATTTTTATACAGATAATGGTGATAAACGAATACACAGTTCACCTGATGGTAATTGGATGCTATGGTCATCAATTAAGAAATGACTTGCCACCTCAGAAAACTATAATAAAACGCCTCTTTACCAGTAAAATTTGTCTCCCGTACACTCCACTCATTATACGCAACACACTATTACGGTGCTATTTATTATTATACTATTATATATTAATAATATTATGTATTATTATTATTTGTTTCATTTAATTTCTATTTATTATATGTTTCATCGACATAAAATTACAAAAAAATGTTATTAAATTTAAAATAAACGCTACGTTTGGTTTGGCTTTAATGTATTTTCTTCTTTCAGGTACTTTACAAATAGTGAAGAGCGAGGAAGAAGATCAGGGCAAGTTCGAATGCGTCGCAGAAAATTCAATTGGAACAGAATTCTCCAAGCCCATTTCGTTATATGTAAAAGGTAAGTTAAGTTAACATTAAAAAGAAGTACCTATTTGTATGATATACCGGTTATATTATCGTCATCAGTGTCGTTTTGAATTCTATTGCGCAGAGAAATTCCTAGTAAAGCTCCATTTATACTTCGCTAAGCAACTTTGAAGCTCGATAGGTTCTGGTTTCTAATAAAAAATGAAGCCACCATAAAATTTATGAAAATATATTTGAAGCTTTCTTTAGGTTCTGGTTTTATGAAGCCACCATAAATTTTGAAAATATATATTGAAGCTTTCTTTAGGTTCTGGTTTCTAATAAAAAATGAAGCCACCATAAAATTTATGAAAATACATATTGAAGCTTTCTTTAGGTTCTGGTTTCTAATAAAAAATGAAGCCACCATAAAATTTATGAAAATATATATTGAAGCTTTCTTTAGGTTCTGGTTTCTAATAAAAAATGAAGCCACCATAAAATTTATGAAAATATATATTGAAGCTTTCTTTAGGTTCTGGTTTCTAATAAAAAATGAAGCCAGAAAATGAAGCAGAATTTATGAAAATATTTTTTGAAGCTTTCTTTAGGTTCTGGTTTCGGTTTAAAAAATAAAGTCACCATAAAATTTGTCATTGAATTAAGAGTAAGATATGTAAAGAAATACCATATCTCATTTATTTTCTGTAACGCTGTAAAAGCTTACACTAATTAGATAGTAGACTCTTCTCTTGCATAATAAGATAAATGAAAGAAAATTAGAATCAACATTAAGATCACGTATTTTTTAAATTGTTGTATGTGTGCTTGTGCTTGTGCAAATATATACCTATATACAATCTGTATAATATATAAAAAAAGGCCAAATGCGTGTTAGCACACGCGGAGGATTAAGTTTGATTCGGTTTACCCAAGGCCAACACAACCAAAACTCTTTATCGCATTATTTAATGTCGCTTTTTTATGTCTGTAATATTAAAATTTTGCTAAGGATACGTGATGTAAGCTATGAAGTTCTGGCCATGTTACAGGATTACGGAGCCTAAAATCTTCACAAAAATCAACTCAGTCTATTCCCAGGCATGGCACTATTATAGGCATTAACTTAACTCGTAATATAACATTTCGCCCCTTATTTAAATTTAGATTTTGGATTTCAAACTGCAGTTATAAAAAAAAACGAAAAATTCAAAAGTTATAGAAGTAAATAACAATAAATTAATTTCAAATTAACTATTACATGCAAACATATTTATTTTAGTTTATGTCTTTGAAACAATTCATAATTGACAATGCTGTAATATTCGGAGTACAATCGAACAGCGCCGCGGTCGCATTGAGGTGGGTTTGCGGCCGCAGTGCTTAATGATCGTCGATTAACGTCCAACTTATTGTGGTCGATGTCATTATGCGGCCCTGATTGCTTCAGAACGTTGCGGATTGATTAGTGCAGCTTATAAACTTAATCTGAGTAAAATCATACGGAAAAACAAGGCTTTTGTATTCATATTTTATTGTAGGATGAAATTAAATTTAAATACCGTGTAGTAGCGGCGTAACAGAATCCATTTTCGTAAAAGTGTAAAAGATAACAGGGCGAAAAATGAAATAGGGGATGGGATATGCTGGAGGTTTCATTGATTGAGATTAGAATGGCTCTACATTACCTTAACGGCAAGGCTCCGGACGAGTATAAAATAACAGCGGTGCTTCTGAAAACGGGCGAAAAACTGAAATTGAAGTCTTTGAGAAGCTTTATTATTTCGTCCTTCATAGTGGCGCTACTCTGGAGACGTGGAGCAGAAGTATGATGATCTTACTCTTTAAGAAAGGCGACAGCGCTCTATTAAAGAACTTCAGACCAATTTCCATTCTAAGGCGCGTCTACGTGCTCTTTTCTAGGGTCATTACGAATCGTCTCGCGCGTAGATTTGATGACTTCCAGGCTCCAGAATAAGCCGGTTTCCGAAGGGCTTTAGTACCATATATCACATACACTCTTTGAACAATTTTACGGGAGACAGAATAGTAAAATCTACTCCTTTGTACTTCAGCTCTCTGTACCCTTTAGACCGAAACACAGTAATGTGAGTAAAACATGACATAATATGAAATATGTCATTCATATTATGTACTTGTATTGCTGTGAACGTGTCGTATGAGGAAACTTAAGGTGGCTCAAAAAAGATATAAAGAGGACTAAGCTATATTAGTAATATATTTGTTTTTCGTGCAACACCAATGATTCGGCTCGACCGAGAAAGGACCACGCTCTCACAGAATACCAGCGTGAAATGGTAGCTTGATGCTGCTGTGTTTCGTATGGTGAGTGTAGAGAACCGGAGACCCTTTTTACTGGAAACAAGGCATTCCGTCGCACAGGGATCAGGGACAACGCATCTCTATTTTGATTCGACCTTTTATCTCATCGGTTGTCGGTTTTTCGAACTATATATGCGGCTCATTGCCATGCCAATAGTTCTACTGTGGATATCCGAATTTCTATGTTTATCGCGCGTATAAACCTTGAACATATCCCTCTTAAGAGGGTAGACGGTCTGCGCGGGAATTGAAAAATAGGTATTTGAAGAAACTATTGCCGTCCCTCGCCTCTGGTCTCCACCCGAAGAGTGCGATAGGGACAACTGCAGCTCAAAACGATTTTACCTACAAAAACCATGACCGATCGACGTTTCGTATTCCCCTGTTTTCTCATCGAAAACTAAGCCAATTTAATTAGTTTTGGTATCAAAATTTAAATGAAGAATAGATCTATGCTTCTATCATTTGCTTTTATCTTAAAAACTTTTCAAATTTCTTTGGTAGTCGTCTGATTACGGAGGTAATTTTTTTAGGTTTTTGGAACGTCATATTTATTTTTGTAATATTTTTTGAAAAAAAGTAAATGATAGGGATGACTTCAATAGATCTAGATTTTTATAAACAAAAACGATTACTCTAGAGGCATTATCTAGGTAGAAAATAGGGGAATACATTTGTATGGAATAAATGCAGTCCGTCTACCCTCTTAAGCGCTTGCTGAGCGATCTTGAGCTCACCTACTCATACGGCCAGCAGTGAAGGATGTATCAGATCCATAAGTCATCACTGGCTACACGCACTAATTGTACAATCTCGTTTTCAAGTTGTGAGGTATATCTGCCGAAAAGATGTATCGTAATTTCCCGAACGCTGCCCAGCCGAGTTGTATCCGTCGAAAATAACATATTATGTTAACATATTACTGTCACTAACATATTACTTTAATTAGATTATTCGTACTTTGAAATTTTTACGTATCACGATACATAAAATGAAAAAAAAAAACAATAACCACCGTTTTTTGCTGGTATTTTTTTCGTCAAGATCGCACCTTTCGAACCATTAATTAAACTGAATAATAAATGCTTGACTTTGACATTGACTATAAGATAAAAGACAGCCGGCGAGACCGACCCACTTTTTACACCAATTTTCTTTGCGGTAAAATAACGAGTGTTCCAGCCCTATTTTTAGAAACGGAGCTGTTCACTTTTCACGGGGCTGAGACTCGGTTACGAATAATATATGCAATTTATTCGCAGATAGTGTCGCGCCACACACGTCGGTCCGCTAACTATCTGACACATTTAGATAAGTAGGACGGGTCGCGACGTGTCATTACATTTTGTAAGAATACGCGTACTCACGAACTGGCAGTTTGGTTCAAATATAGTAATTTTTACGAACAGGTGTATAATTTTCGTTACCTTACATTTCATTTTCGCTGTCATCCGTTTCTTTTTAAAGCTTTTCTCATATAAAATGTAATATAGCGCACGGTATAAAAATAGATCGGTAGTAAAATCAAGCGTTCACAAAATGAACTTAATTTGAATCTAGTTTCTGGTAGAACACTGGGGACATCTAGATATGGTACAACTAAACTATTAATGCGATGTTTTCACGTTTCGTAACTCATGTAAGTATCGTATTTTAGTTTTCACAAACCTACTGTCACAGTATTTAATAATGACGTTACTATCACTAAATGAATAATATAATATCATTGAATAAAAATGTAATACAAGTCATATATTGTTTTGTTACAAGTCATACATAGTTTGTGTAATAGCATCATTAATTTATTGGTTCCTTTACTTCCATTGCCTCCAATCGTTATAAGGAGTAAACTCCAGTCACGCGTCTGAGCTGACACGTACAATTTGTTTTCTTCTTTATGTTTTTAATCAGCCAGTAAATAGGCAACTGCTTGATAAACCACTGTAACTAACTATATCATGATTAGCTTTTATCCTCACGCGGATTTATGAGTACAATCGTAGTGCCAGATGTTTCCGCATCTTTGAAGCTGCTCTGCATTTAATAACCCAACTGCCAATCGTGGCAATTATAGCATTTATCCCCCTTGCCCTTTAGGCTCAATTTTTATTGCCGCGAAACGGAATTTTTGTAACGAAATAGTACATGCTATAGTGAGTTTTATGTTAATTGTGTAACGTGCATACTAGATATATAGCCAAAAAAGTAGTCGCGCGTCTTCCGGGGAATTCTCGCGCATTCTCGAGGATTCCCGTAACTATTGTCGACGCCATCTGTGGAATCCGCGGAAAGTGGCGCGAAGGGTGACGTTTTCTTTTGTATAATAAACCATTAACCCAAAAATCTCATTTCCTTTTTTTGATGTTCTTCTTTTTCTTATTATTTTCCTCTTCTTCTGCCTCACAAATAAGCAATATGAAAATAATATCCAAGTCAACCATTCTTGTTAAATAAGAACCTTCTCGTGCGACAAGGTGAAATTAACGCTTCCATTCTACTAGGTTCCGTCGCAATGTAAATTGAGCTTTATGAAGCAATCTATTTAGGAAGCCTATGCTCAGCAGTGGAGTTGCAATGGATTGTAACATTGCTATGCCGTTTTTACCTAAAGCAAAGCCCAAAAGACTGATTATACTTTGGCTTGATTAAACGGTTGATGATTTCGAACCTTTTTTTGCTGCTGCCATGCTGCAGTTATAATAGTAGTAT